TTGCCCATTGCCAGTACTGTATTACCTACAGCGCACATAATTTTTTTTTTTGTCTATCCTGTATTCTGCGTTGACTCCAAACAGCCTCAGTGTAAAAGCAGATGAGATGATTTATTTTTATCATTTGCTTTTCCTCGTGAGAAGGAGAACCTCTTGGGCCTGCCCTTTCTGCTAACTTCCTCTTAGCATAGTCATTTACATCTTGGCAAACAGGGTGTATAAAATGCTACTGAATCAAATCTGCAAAGTATGTAATTTTTATTTTGCAATCACTGTGACAGATTCTTTGCTGGTATAAATAGCTGCAGTCTCATTGATTGGAGTTCTCCCTTTTTGCACGAAGAGGGAATTGGCTCAGCCTGTACAGGTGTCAAGAAGTCATACGAATGACAGACAACAGAGATCAGGCCCTACAATTTCAGGTCTGATTTGAGTTATTTGCAGTTCTCCTGCACACTTTAGGAAGACACTTTACATGTTAAAACTTGCTGTAAGCCTTTGATATGTTTGACCTTTAAAAAAAAATTCTTTTAAATGTTGATATTTCTTAAGAAGACATAGTATTTTTTGATGGAAGAGATAGAGATTTCATGTCTAAACATATTTCTTGGTTTCACTTTGTTGGACTAGTTAACTGCTCTGGTAACAATCTTTTCCTGCAATTTGTTTTTGGAGGATAATATCAAAAAGTTACAAAGAATTAAATCCCTGTGGAAAATATTAGTAATAGAATCCTGCTAGCCTCTCTGGAGCCAACTGTGGAAATTCATGTACATGAGTCCCACCTGCAGCAATAGTTCCAAGTAAAAAATTGTCCATGATACCTTCTGATTGGAACAAATGTTTGGCTCCAAGGGCCGTGAGCAACTTCTCTGGAAACAGGTAGGGAGGCTGTGAAAAAATTGCAGAGCATATCAAAAGTTTTCCCTCTGGAAAAGTAGAGAAAGAGTCCTCTGAGCACTGATGCTGCACCCGGGAAGCACTGGGTGCACCCAGTGCACCTCTCTGGACTGCAGCCACGTGAAACATCTGCTGAAATACCCGAACTGATGCCCCATGTTCTTCTTCCATCACCTGAATAAGTCCTCTGGAAACATGGCAAATGGTATGTTTTCACTTGAACAAAATAAGGAAATCCCTGTTTACAATTTTCATTACAGCACAATAATAAAAACCCTGGCATAATGTCAAACCCTTTCCATGTCAATTCAGAAGGCAGCGCAGCATTAACACAGTCGGTGTTAACAGTTACGTATCTGGTGTAGAGGCAGAAGACGGAGACTGCATATGTTCTTGGTGGTGCAGCTCAAATAGAGACTATGAAATCATGGTAGTTCAACACTGGGTGAAGACCTAACTAGTGATTTTCCAGCTTTCTGTTTACACTGTATTAAAACCTGCTTGTACTTGACAAAATTTTGGCTGTTAGGAATGTGTATGTGTGTCCGTGCCTAATTATTTGTATGTAACAATGCCTTCAAAACCAACAAATACAACTTTCTACTGTAGCAGAAGTGCAGGAGAAGTTGGCTTCACTCTTTTCTTTATGGTGGGCTGCGTTCAGCACTGTATTTGTAAGAATTTTTTCTACCTTAATGGTCAAAGGAATGTTTTGAATGACTTTGAAACATAAACAAGCAGGTGAATGGTGCAGGATAAAAAATAGCAGATGATAGGCCATATTTTTGGCCCTGCTTATATTATCTATGCCTTTGGTGAGTGCCACTGATTTTATGCAGCCCATTCAGTATTTAACGCCTTGTTTTCTCTACTTACTACAGACCCAGGACAATTGGTGAACTGAATATGGAACATAAGGCATTTATTGAGGAAGGGAAAAAAATGTTTGCTTATTGTAATTTCAGATTTTGGCTCAGCTAGATTGAGAACAAATTTTTCAAATTTTCAACATATTTTGGCATGCTGATCTTTCGAACATTTTTTGCTTTTATTTCGGACAACGCAAAAAAAGGCAATACGAAAAATTTCAGAGTAGATTCTACGCTTAATCTGAATTGAATCAAAAGCCAGATTTCATGTGGTTACCTTAAGCATTTGGTTCATTAGGAGATGATAATTTCCAGAAGGGTGGTTTTCTTTGGTGGTTTTCTTTCTTTCTGTGTGCCCCAATTTTTGGCTGTCAGACTTGTAGGTTGAGTAACTTCGAAGCTGCAAGCTGATCCATATCATTTGAGAGCTGAGTCTGTTTAATGAATCTCAAATTGAGCATCCAAAAGCAGAAACACTCCAACTCATTAATCACTGTGAGAGATCTAGGCCTAATCATGTAAATTAAGAACAATAGTTCCATAATAGAAAAGAAGCATGACTACGTGTTTCCAGAGACCGCCATGATACTATTGGTCACGTATGTTTATGTATCAACAATATACCCTTGTTTCTTTTTGGAAATGTAAATCAACATCACCATGAGTTTGCACATGTGTATATTTATATGTATTTTAGGCTAATATTTGATGACATGTCTTTCAAAGGTCTCTTAAAAATCCAGGGCTTGGTGTAATAAGATGAAGACTTCCCTGAAACACATTACATATGTGATGCTGAGAGGCAGCAGAATATTAGTGTAAAACTGCTGTTTCTGAAAATAGACTTTGAGTTCATTACACCTTCAGCTTAAAGTTTTAATCTATGAGTTCTAAAGTGTTTTTTGGTAAAAGTAAAAAGTGGTGTAGAAACGTAAAACATTTTGGAGAAGGGTGCAGTGCTATGCATAATTTATTGGGCACTCTTTGTACAGTCAATTGTTAAGTTATAAATAAAATACAACCTTAAAACAAAGATTTGCTGACATTGTGGGTAGTTATTTCCTCTATATTTCTATTCCAAAAAAAGTTTCCAAGTTTGAACAAACAGTCACATTTTGGTCTGGTTATTGATATTCACAGTGTCATTTCTATTTTTGGATGTATCACATTGAAAACTTTATTCTGTACCACGGAGAATGCCTTTTCCTCCAGTAAATGTTCCATAGGCTGCAAAACTATTCTTAAAGCACTGCAAAGTGCCTAGGCACAGCAAAGGGGAAATCAGAGGGAAGCAAATGAGGCTCTATGATGCCGAATTGTCAGGTCCTAGAGCTCCTGAAGAACAGTATGACTTGCCTCACTGACGTAACATCCCTCTCTGTACTAGCTCAGTACCTAACATCGTGGCTCTTTCCTCCAGTGCCTCTGAACCGCGGCTCCTGTTCCTTTAGGTTAAGGGCGCGGAGTGTTGGCACAGCAGCCCGCTCTACAGCGTACACCAAACACATGCTTGTTTTCTGCCAACAGAGAACCCTCTCGAACTGGAGAAATTCTGAACCCATTTAGGCTCATTTAAAATGAGCTTAGTGGATGCAAGAATGCAGTCTATAGACTTTTCAGAGTAATTTATTATAGGTCTTTGCATCACTACTCAGGATGGGGTGAGAAAGAGGTCTCCCTGGAAGCTCTGAGTAAGCTTTTTACCAGTGGCAGAGATATTTCCTGAGTGTGGGTAGGGATAACACATGGTGGGCCTGATGAAACAGCAGGAGCAAAGCATACTATCCTAATATGAATCACGGGCTAAGCATCACTTGCAAGCACTCTGGAGCAGCAGGAGATGCCTGGTTTCACATCCCCCAGCTCTCCTACAGTGGTACTGACACAGAGCTGTGTTACTCCGCCTCAGCCCAAGGTGCAGAAACATTCTAGCTACTTAGGAGAAAAAGATACAACCAGTTTGAGCTTATGAGTGAAACATTTCCTAGAACTGAGCCTGAGTAAATTCTGGAACAGCTGAACAGGAAATAAGCTAATAATGGGATTTTAGAATATGCATTTCCCATATAAGGTGCTGTAGCATGGACTTGTTGCTGATCTCCTGGTTATTTTGATGAAAATTTTAGATTCCGTCACTGCTTGAACTCATTTATGATTATGAGGCGTTTGCAGCATTTTATGTCCCAGACCGAAGCGTTTCATCTCGCCTGTATCAAAGGTGGCCCATGGATGGACCATTCCTGGACCAGACCAGGGAAGGGACTTGTTACAGTTCTGCTTTGCTGCCTTTTGTTTGTGTTGGGGATCTGTTTCCTTTAGCCCTTAATATTGATGCATAGGAAGTGGAAGAGAGGTGGGGAGAGGCAGGTTCAGTACAGTGGAGGCTTCTCAAAATCAGTTCCCCCAAACCTGGTGTGGGGAAAGGAAGCCCTGGCTCCACAGAGCCTGCTGTCTCCCTCAGTAAACAAAGGACTGGATTTGGGCAAGTTGCCCAAAGTGTTGGTGCAGGGTGCATTCTCGCCCTTACTGCTCTGCCTGGCCTTTTAAGGATATGTGACAGTATGCTTAAGAGCACAGTAAGGTGTGTAATTCAGCAATGATTAATGAGTACAAGGCTGTTCTGTAGCTTTAGTGTTTCTGTAGCATTGGTCAAATTCCCTTCTCACTAGTAACTCACTAAAGTGTAACTAAGATTTTCAGAGCTTGGGCTCCCCTCCTCTGCACTGTAAGTGTAACCTCTGGCCAGCTCTTATGCTATGTTAATGTAGAGTCATCTACCTTTCCAAATGTACTTTGCATTGTGGAACAGGTTTTGCTTGTAAATGTAAGGCCAGATGTTCAGAAGAGTAGAGCTCCCATTTAGGCATCTAGCAGTTACTGCTGTGACACATGCTGATCGCATCTGAAAATCTGAAATCTCTCTGCTTAGAGAATGAAATATTCGGGCTGGCTAGTTTGTGCAGCGCTGTAAGAAGTGTCCTATATGCATATAATTCAGGAGTTCTTTCAAAATAACTTGCGCTGGATCGCTGTCTCACTTAGTTTTAAACCACGGATTGTACCAAACTAGTTATTTTGATTTCTTGCTAAGCAGGGGCTTACTTTCCAGTTACAACTAACATTTTCCTTTTCCTTTTCTGCAAAATCTGTTAATGAAGGCTTAATGAAACAGTGAATGCAAGTCTAAGAAATAAATCTGATTCGTTAACAAATCTTTTTTTCCTTTTCCAGTGACATATTTGATGCCATGTTCCCTGTTACGCACATTGCAGGAGAAACAGTCATTCAACAGGGTAATTTTTCTCCTCTTTTTTTTCCCTTCCATGTTTGCTAAGATTGTACAATTCACATGTCTCCATCTGAGATTTCATCCTCTTTCTTTGCTTAATGAGAAGAACGACTATATTCCAAAAGTGTGTTAAGTACACACTACAGCTATGTCATAAGTTCATTCATGCAAGGACTATCTTTTGCTATACATTTGTAGAAGCATTGGTACATCACCAGGGTTTTGTAGTACCACAGTGAGCCAGATACATATGCTTCTACTTAAAGTGTTCGTTTCTTAAGTAAAGATACTCAGCAAGTAAAGCGCAGCTTAGCATGAGCAGGGGTGGCACAGCCTAGCTGGGAGTAACTAGAGATGGAAAATATTTCTATGGTTGTTGGGACTGTTCAACACCTCATTGTGCTGTATCATAGTTATCACATTTGGCAACTTACCTGCACGCTTGCAGCATGTTGTGGAGGACTTCATTATCCTCAGGATGTATTAAAGCCTCTTGTGTGTTTACACTGAATGAAGTGTTGAATCAATCAAAAGAGATAAATTAATGCAATTGAAAGGTATTAATAGGAAGAAATCCTAGTGATATTTTGATTTATGAAGGAAAATAGGCAAGGGCACTTAAGAATATGAATCTCCTGTTAACTAATCAGGTGTACAGACCTGTGCAAATACGTACAGAATTAAATATGGAGACAGGAACTTACAGTTTAGAAGACCTTCAGGAAGCAATCATCATTTGTATTTTGCTTCTAGGTGATGAGGGAGACAACTTCTATGTGATTGACCAAGGCGAGGTGGATGTAAGTTTTTACTAACTTCATTTGGAAACATGCAAGTATACTTGCACAGTCTAGTATTTATTCTGAATACATGGTAAAAGTTTATGCTCATGATGCTGGCGTACAGCTTGATCCAGCAATATTCTGTGGTTCTGTATCCTTTGTTCTTGACACAGATTTAACGGGTTTGCTCTCATTAGTTGGCTTTTGTTGTGTTAAGTCATTTGTGCATAATTTTATAGTTGACATGCTTTATATCCTAGCTTATTTGTCCTTTCCAAGCAGGAAAATATGGTATCAAAACCAAGCAAATGACATTATCTTTAGAAGTCCAACCACACCTGGAGGTGTGCAGTCTTTGGCAGAGCAGGCCACCATGCTGGAATGCACCCGAGGGTTCAGATGAACCATAAGGAAAATATTTTCTTTAATCAGCTAGCTTAGCTCATGTGCATTTTTTTTTCAAATTGAGATACAGCCTCAGGTAGCTAGTTTCGTCTTAGAAACCTTAATTTGCTTTTAAAATTAGGTCCACGTATACGAACAATGCAGCATATTAAGAAAGCAAGGATTATTTTGTAAGTATAAAGCAAACTGTTAGACCACAAAATGTTTACAGGAGCTTGTGGTGGTTTAATCAGCAAGTCTCTGAAAAGAGGCTTCCTTCTGAACCTGCCTTCCAATTCTTAATCTGTTCACCCCTTATCGTTTTCTTATTGTATGAAACGGACCCTTTTGCAGTTTCCTGTGGTACAAACTTCTCATTTGATTGAATCCTCTAGAAACCGTGTATTATATATCCACAGTTGTCAGGTAGGATGGGCTTGCTCATTAGCGACGTTGGCATTCAGACACCCAGATGCATTTTGTTTGGAGTATTTAAAGAAGAGAGTGATTTATTTTAAATCCAGGCAGGAGGCATACAGTTATTTTAGTGAAAGTTATTTTTTTTAGAAGTCTGTTTGTGTCAGGAGACCGTCTAATTGGTATTGTTGGGAATTGAGAAACCTCACTTGCTGCCTCTGCTTCTGGAAGTTGCTTCTCAGGAAATCCGTCTGACTCATTGTTCCTATCAGGCATACCTCTCAATAGCAAACATTGCCACATCGACAGTGCCAGAAAATAAAAGGGTAGTATTTATAGAACAGTGCTAAAATTTATAGTCTTAAAATAATTCATTAGAGCCCAATGCTGAGTTTAATGACTTCACTGGCTTTGAATCAGATCCACAAACATACGCAAATGCACATATTGAAGTTATAGGTTAATCCTCTTTAAAAATAATCTGTTCTCGCTTGGGACCTTTAGGAAAGTATTCTTCAGTATTTGGCTCAGGGTTGGAGGGGGTCTGGATGACAACAGAAAACGGTCTGCAAAACTCTTGCAATTAGTTGCAAAAAAGAAATCTGCCAAATGTATATATCCCTCTTACACACACAGTGGTGACAAAATGGGGAAAATAAATGCCCAGGGTCTAGCCAGCTTTGTCAAAAGCTTGCAAAACTGTTGCACAACACGGTTTATGGGTTTTCTGTAACTGGTGGTTGCCAGCAGTGACCAAGGTGGCTTGAGAAGCACTTCTTTAGCGTACCGGTTGCTGTATTCTTTGTCAGGTAAAAGGGTGTCTTCGTTTCCTTTCCAGATATATCCTGACATCTATCTCAGAAGTCCCTTCGTTATGTCATGTTAGTTGTGTATAAGAGGTTATTTTTTTTAATGGAAGGTTGAAATTCTTTTGTAAATAATTGTGACCACAGATGGCCCAAGAGGAAACGTGTTTAGATCATTTTTCATTGATGGTCCCTTTAGTTCATGAAAGTGTTATTCAGAATAATCTTATATTTGGTTCCCAGAAAGTTTCAAGGGCCTTGGAAGCTTCTAAGATGAATTTGGGATAAAATTTTAAAAATTAGCACAGTAACTAAATGGCCTCAGACCCGCTGCAATGCAGTTACGTGTAGGCTCTGAAGCTGCATAGATGTTTTTGAAAATTTTGTCTCAAGCCCCTGATTTGACAAGGTACATAAGCATCAGTCTACCTTTAAGCATGTGAGTAATTCTGTTGACTTCAGTAGGACTCATATGTTTAAAGTTAACTGATCTCATGAGTACTTTCCTGAACAGACAGGCTCGCTCACAGTTTTGATAGATGAAGATCAAAGTGTACAGCGCTGTTTTACAGTGTTAGTGTTGAAGGCAGAATTTTTCTTTGTATTCTAAGTAGTTTGCAGTCCTCCAGTCAGTTGTGTGATACAGGCTGTTTTGCAGCCTGCCTTCTTATAACATGTTTCCTGCCTAGTCTATGAGATTTGCAACAGCAGATTTTCTAGGGAGTAAATGAAGCTGCTTACAATGAAATAACTGTGGTTCGCTGCATAGATCATACCTTCGCTGTCACAAGCATCCTCAACCCCTGTACCCCTAGTCGTTAAAATCAGGTTGTACCTACTAGGAAAATGGTCAAAACGGATAGATCGACAGTAATAATGTCATCCTGACACTTCTCAGGTGTGTGTACAGGCACTTCTCAGTCATGGGCTGTGGGACTTGGGAGATGACATTTTGATTGTGCATATTCCAGTGACAGCCAAACCCCCTGACCCTATAAGCTGCTTGCAGAAGTCTGCATGTGACCAACTCTTACAGCGCTGCCTCTGACACCCCCTTCATTTGTTTGCACCTTACTACTGTTGTTCCCATCTCTTCAGCCAGATACGCTCCTCCCTAAGCCTATTCTACATCTTCAGCCAGAAAACACACTGGTTTCCTTTGCAAGGTGCTGTGGAAGGCACAAGAAATCCAGGAGCAATTTACTACACTTCAGCTACTCCATGGTAACTACAGAAGTTACCTGTGGTAACTCCGTGTGCTGTGAAACATGCAGGGAAGCGAGCCTTTTATTCCCTCCCCACACAAAGTCTGTCCCAGGGCACTTAGTGCCGTGGCTCATGCACAGTAACTTGCTCCTGTGTAAAGCAGCAGCTCCCCGATCCCATAGGTGCGCACTATCATGCTATACGTACTGCTCCCCAGAACAAAGTTCTTCTATTTTCTGGGCAGCAGTGCTAAAATCCTTATTGTCTGAAGAAAATCCAGGCTGCTAGTAAGTGAGCTGCAGTTCATTTAAGCCTTGCCAGATACTTTTCTGGCATGTTTCCACACTTCTCCAAAAAAAAAAGAGCTACTTGGAGAGTAGACAATTGACCCCGAGACTTTAAGCCTCAAGCCATTTTCTTTCTGCCTAGTTCAGCTGGTGTTGGCAAATGCATTGAGGCCTTTTAACCCCTGGCCACGCTATCTGCTTTCATCATTTCCGTGATCTGCACAGAAGTGGCAGGTGTAACAGGACTATGGATTTGAGGAGCAATTTACTCTGAGAATATCATGACTGATAAACAAACAACTGCATTTTCCATACACATGCAAAGATGCACATAAAGGAGATGGCGACTGCCATCATAAAATTTCCATCCCCTGGAAGAAAGTCAACCAAGCAACTGAAAACGACCAAACCAACAACCAAATCAAAAAATGAAAGTAGCATGCAGTGTTTTGAGTAAAAGAAAAACTAATCACATGTTTTTTACTGTTGGAGTATTGGAATAAATGCCCAAAGGACAAGTAAGAGGATTCTGATGATTTTCTTTAGAAATAATCTGGGCCAAATTTTATGTAAAATTTAATAAAATGTTATTATATTTAAGAATAAGTTATCTTCAATGCTCAGACTGGCTTAGGGTATAAACAAGCACAGTTAGCATATCCATAACAAAGTAACTGTACATTTACCAGTTATTACTACAGACAGCCAAATAAAATGCAATACAATTCATTTGGCAAGCACAGTGCCCAGCTCAGCGTGAACTGTGGGCTAAGGGAGAAAAGCACACATTTCCATATGTAAAGGAGAGTGTTTTTAATATCACTGCCCTCTGGCAGTGTTGAAGATTTGCAAGTATATGGCAACTGATGTGAAGTCAATCAAAATGGACATCCAAGGAGGTGCTAGTAGCCCTTTTACCTGACTTTAAAGAAACCAGTGTCCTCAAAGAACGCACAGGCTGTAGGAGCTGACCAAGAAAGATTCTTGGCTGCTGGCTGTTATTTTCAGAGACTTTCTTTAGGGTAGCTTGTCATCTGCCTGTATAGTTGCTTAGCTGAAGCGGGAGTAAACCGTCACCTTACTGCTTTGCACTACTTCCTAGGACACCATTGGTAAAGAGGAGATGAGGAAGGAGTAGGTCTGGGAGCAATCTGAGTTTGTTCCTCTCATACCCTGGGTACTATAAACCAGGTATGGTTTAGTCCCTGGCCAGAGCAAACACTGGACTGGAAGGGACATTATAACACAATCAGTCACGGTCTTTCTCCTTGACTGCCTAGGGGCAGCACAATAATAGATCGTCCACTCGTTGGAGGAGAATCGTTACCTCATGGTTTGGACCTGCATATGGATAAAGTCTATGCTAGGTAGATAATGGCTTGAGGTTTTATGTCTCAGAGGTCAATTGTCTACCGGAAGCTTTTCTGCTCAGAGAAATGTGAACATATGCCAAAAAGTATTTGGCAAAGCTTAAATTATAGTTTCCAGTAAAGATGTTGAAAGTACCTGCTAAAGTATGTGTCTTGCAAAAATCTCTAATCCATATTTCTAAATATAAAAATGACTTCCTGTTTATTATTTTAATCTTATAACCTCACATTTTTTTACTTTAAAAAGCAGCATCAACTACCCTTCTAAAACAGATGTATTTTTCTTTTTTCTTTTTCTTTTTTTTTTTTTTTAGAATCCACAACTTCCTATTCTATTTAATATCACAGCACCTCTTTCCGCAGGCATTTTCAGGTTTTCTTCTTGTAAAACAATAACAGCTAAAATATAGCATACTGAAAATCAAAATTAAAACCTTTCAACATTTTCTTAAATAACCTAACGTTTACTGTATTGAGTTATATTTGGAGCTATAAATCAATATTGTGGACGATAGATAAGATTATCTTCTGATTGTAGGTCAAATCTT